CACTTTACTACCGTTGCTGGTTCTACCGCAAAGAAAAAATTGCTCTTTGAACCCACCGAAGGATAGCGAACTAGACTATTTCTTTGAATCGGGATCTATTCAAAGCAGTTGGAACATCGAATATTGAAAACTTGTATGTGCACGAGAAAAAGTAGAAACGCGCTATTTTTTTATTGAACGAAAATTTGAAAAGAAAAGGTTAGTATTTTCAGCGCCGATCCATCCGACAAGTCTTTTGAACTATTGTTCAGATAAAAGAACACTTACAAGGAAGGTCTTTCAGGGTGTGCCAAGCTTTTTCAAAACGGTCTTTTGCATGATATAGAGGCACATGCGGGAACCACAGAACCATGGTTAATTTTTCCTGAACGGCCCTGAATACCAGAAAAGGGGGTCCCTAGTCACACCTTTTTCACCAGTTTTTCAATCAAAGTCTATTTGTAAGGGTTACTGACGGTCCTAATCATGAATTTGGTACTAATTATTCATGCTAACTCCATTTTGCGCGAATTTTGAAACGTCAACTCGAAATGCAAAAATTTGTCACCACGAGGAATCGAACTAGGGACCCCTTTTCTGGTATTCAGAGGGCCGTTCAGGAAAAATGAACCATGCTTCTGTGGTCCCCATATGTGCCCCAATGTCATGCAAGAAACCATTTTGAAAAAGCTTGGCACACCCTGAACGACCTCCCTTGTTAGTATTAAATAAAACCATATACCTATGAGGATTTTTACAGTGTATAGGACCCTCGGACTACTGAAAATAACGATCAATTTTTGATTTTCTTCGTTAAAGGTAATCACGAAAAGCGTGTCGCAAATGCCTAGTGGTCTGCCAAGCCATTCTATCATATTATTTCTAGCAGCTAAAAACTGGTGCGCGGCGCATCCACTGGAAATTTAGTCTCACGGTTCATTAGGTGTCTTTGTTTATCCGAGTATGCGCCAGCGCTCGACGGGAATAATCGTAATGGACACGAGAAGCGGATGAATGATGACAGAGTACAGTTGATGGCTGCTACCGCTACCGTCGTTGCTGATTCCGCGTTGATCCTGTTCCTAAGAGTAGACCAGGCGCTGATCGCCCGAAAACTTCGACTAGCCCCTACCGGTCAGCTGTCAAATGCAATTGTCATACTGGTACAGTAGCAGTTCACGGTGGTTGACCATGTGGAAGTCACCACCGCTGTCGACGCCTCCGCAACCCGTACGTCCGTCGGATCAATCAACTCGACGTTCGTTCGTTCCCTAAACGATCTGGAACGCATCTGATTCGCTTTCTTCCCATAATCAACGCTATTTACATTGCTGTTTGATGGCTTTTATTCCTACAGTAATCATGCTCAAATGTTGTTCGAGTTGATCAACCTTTCGAAATAGAGTAATCTATGATCTGCTAGACAGGTCATGCGTACTATTTTAAAAATACACCGCGGGTTAGCCGTACCGGTTCTCACTGTATGTCCATACGTATGCGGAAACTAATCGAGGCACATTCGCGTCAAGGCGTTCACTGGCGTTTACGTGTCAGGGCAGTCTTGCCGACACTCTCAGAACTTGTCCGCCTTTTTTGAGCCAGTACACTCTTGTCACTTTTCGTTACTTTCCTACCACTCTTGATTCTAATTTCTTCGAAACTTACCCACCTCGTTTGAGAGTATTTCTAATGCCATGTCTATCAGGCTGTATGCCATTTACTGGTCATCTCGTCGACCTCTTTGTTAATCCTTCTTTCGACAAAGTGCAGCGAACACGTTGCCGCACGGCGCATACGTTATCCCCTCCGATTTCTGTTTCTTCCATGCTGATTTCAGAAAACCTCGATGACGATCTCTAGTGGAATTTCGCAGGATGATCGACAGAAGATCGCTGAACTAAGAAAGCTGGTCAAGGACGACCTCTCCGAGTACTACGACACAGATTTCAACCTCCTCAGGTGGCTCCAAGGTCACGCACAACTTGATATTACAGAGGTTGCCAGAAAGCTGCGATTCCATTTGAAGGCAAGGTGAGTCCACGTTCAGTACAGTCACCAATACAGCTAATTGCGGCAATTATTCATCATATGGAACAGATTGGGAGCTTTGTGAGACAGTGGTTTCTCTGAAATGAAGCTGTAAATTCGAGTATTCGGAAAACCGAGTTTAATCACTAATCTGCTTGTGAAACCTTTGCTTATGAAAGTCTGAGAGCAATCTCTATAGGAGCTTCGAAAACACTCTCTAGGAAGTTTCCTTTTTGAACCCATCTTGAGAAACCCTCATCATTGGGATTAGGTACATAAATGGCCGATCGTCGATTCCTCGATGAGAGGAAAAAGAGGTTATGGCACACCCTAATCAGAAAAGCTATCGCACAATCAGGGATTCTGAGGGATAGTGACATTCACGGAAGTAATCATAACACTTAAACCCTTTGTCCACATCGTCCTAAAGAACTCAGAGCAGACTCACCTTTCGATTTCTCGCAGTTGATGCAATCTGCTTTCGAAACGCTCAGCGATCTACAGAGCAACTGTCAGGTCTCCAATCTTCAATTGAATTATGCCAATTGCTTTTGCTCTACTTGTACGGAAGAGCTGTGCTGATTAAAGGCAAAAGTCGGGCTCAATAAGGGGGTATTATGGCGATTGAAACTGAGTATAGAGATGCGAAGTAGAACGACAGTGGAGAAAAAACTGAGAAAAACGGTGTACAAGGCCGTTAACAAAACCCTCTTCCCCACTAGCAATGAAGGAGGCTCGCTTGGGGAAAGAGTGACGTACAAACAAGTTTTCTGAAGATGTCAGTCGTCGGCAATCAACCTAGCTGATTTCACACGTTATGCCAGCCACGCACCACTTCCGGAGGTGGGCGGTCCTGGATTGACCAGGCGGCCCTGAACTGAAACCGAACGCCCCGGGGTCTTAACGGGGTTTTTCAAGGTGGGAGGTTGCTGCAACTTGTGCAGCTACCCACATATAACCTCCAGGCACGGAAGTTACTTCTCTAGCGTGCCTGAGCCCGACCTCTGGCTTTGAGAACTACTGTAAGTGAGCTGCAAGAAAGAACAATCAAAAACACGAAGTGCTTTGTCGTCTTTCTGCCGTGTTTTTGGACTTGTTTCGTTAGTTTTCACCTGCTTCCGTTTTTGAGAATAATCAGGGTTGAACCTTTCTGATGCCTCCTTAAACAACTTCAGAGGGCAGTTCACATTGAACAAAAGTCGATAATTCGGGTTTTCTCCATTCGCGCAAGGTAAATCAATGT